ATATAGGTTGCCTAGGTGCAAGTTGATTAAAAATATTCAAAACTCGTAGGTAGTTGTAGTCGGTGATAGCGATGCGGTCTTACTAAATCGGGCATAACTCTTTATTGGGAAACACTGATTTAAGAACTAATTGATGCATTCTAACCTAGATTCATAGATCTTCCTAATGGCGTAAGACTACACATTGCTTCATCCTAGATATGAATAGTTTAAAGTGATAAAGATTACCCTAAAAAAATGGTAATATCTTTTCTAGCTTTATCACCTATGCTTCATTTTGAGACTTGGGCTATTCCTACATTGATAGACGTCACAATTATCATCCCCTTAAGCTCTTTTATTAATTAGAAATCGAGCGTAGTTTGAGATTATTGAAAACTTGTGTTACTCGTAGATTAATTGTTTGATGACTACAAATAATAAGACTCCAACTTACAAATACTTTAATGTACTACATACTATTGGACAACATGCTTAAAGAATACTATTGTAAGGTGGTGCGAGCATTATGGAAGCCGATGATCGTATCCCAGTGTCCTTGGTGCGAAACGTGTCAGTCCTTGATGAGTGACCCAACAATAAGGTGGTACGATTATTAGGTACTTTCACAAAAGTAGTCTATTGCTTTCCATGTAGTAGTATCAAAAAGCAGGATCTCATGTACCTAGTATCGTCCCCAGAAGGTACCTCTCTAGTTCAACCCAAAAAAAGGGAGCTAATTATGCTATGGCAAGATCCTAAGTTGGAAATAGTGCATTGATAATAATGTCAGGCTAATAGCTTGTAGCCTTTTGATATCTTGCATGAGACACCTACGTCGAGATGATGGTTCATAATAAACTCGCTTTCCAAAGTCTGATTTTGTTCATTCATTGTATTACTTGCACTGGATCCCAATTTTCATCAGTTGTTTCCCATATCCGTGGGATCAACCTTTTCTATCACTTACTACAAGTTTTAAGCAGGTTTTATTTTGGTGGTCTTGAGACTCATCAAACGTCAACCACAAATGGAACAAATTCCACTAGGGTAGATATATACACCTTTAGCAGTGAAAGCACACTTTTATTACAGGACCAGTTCATAGTTCAATTTGGATACTTGAACTCCATCACATGAATTCAATTTTGGCATCATTGATTCATGCGGAAATGATTGAGTTTAATTGCTCTAAATCACTGAACTCCATTCCAATTCTCTTCAATGCCGATGAGTTCATATGTCCAAACAAATTTGAAAAGCTCCGACAAAAATAAGATTAACCTTGCGCCAGTGATAGTTGATGTTGCGGCGCTGGTAGTGTCTGCAGAACAAAAATTACTATAAAGTTTCTTTTATTATTATCAATCAAAAGAGAAATTACAAATAAGAATTCAGAAAAGGAAAGCATCAAAATCAGATTTTACCTTTATAATTGAAAGATTCAAATTCTTTCTTTCTGCGGCTATAGCTCAACAGAGATTATAGTCGTGATCAAACCCCTAAGTAGGGTTTCAAAAGAGAGGGGATCGAAGGAAGAAGGCAGAGGGTTTGGCTATTGAAGCGGAGTCTCCGATTCAATCTAGTCGATGATTCATATATCAATGGATTTTGATTACATAATTTCTCTTTATTGGAGGAGGAAACAACGATGTCGTTTTTACCGTAAACATAACGGCATCGTTTTGACCGCATGACTGTTTTAGAGGGTAAATAGATACTAGTGCATAAATGACATCAATACCCCAGATTTGAATTGTAAGATCTAATGACCAATGAGATTACTCAATTTATTTATGAGCCAATCACATCGTTCAAATTTGAACTTAAATCTGACTAATCAGATTCGAGGCTCTAAACTCCACAAAGTCTTTTATTGTAAGTAGAGATAAGATAAATATATATATATATATAATTTTCCTTTATATATATACCACTATTGTATGAAAATATCAATAAAATGAATTTTTTTTTCCTTTCTTAAGATTTTTGGCAATGAATAGGCTCTATGGAAGAGAAAACGAATGATATACTTGTTTTGACATTTAAACCTTTGATCTAATTGTACAAAAAATGTATATAATTTTGGACCAAACTAATGTAACACGATTAAATAATTAATGCTACAATTGTATTAATCTTAACAATGTTTCATTCGAAAATACCACATCACCCCGCCTCTCTCTCTAAAAGCCTCCCCTAGCCAGATTATACTACTCCCAGGCCATCATTTCCAGTAGTCGGGGGAGCCATCTTTTTCAATTTTTTTCTTTTCTTCTCCCTTTCTTTTGTAAAACAAATCCGGCGATTCCGTCCTCTGCTGCTGCTGACAAATACGTCACTGCGGACGCCATTCTGATCATCGAAGCCTCCCGCTGTGTTGACAGTTCAGATCCCTCAGATCTGAATTCGGTGGTCAAATACGGCCATTACTCATGACGCACCAGCAGCCATCTACATGTTCACGGACCAATCCAGACGCTCAGATTCGATCACAACCAGACAAAATCGTCAGTAGCGTCACCAGTTCTGATAAGAACTTAGACTTGGATTCAGATCTGAAACCAGCCACCATCGCCGTCTGGTGTTCTCTGGGCAGCCATCGACGTCCGGGCAACCCGAGATGCGTTCATCCTGAAGGAATCCACCTTGTATTTGTTTTTTCCTTGTTTTTGTTGTTAATTTTCTGTGGTTTTTTCTTGTTGTTGAAGTCGGATTCCTGGCCATCTGTCTCAATCCAGTTCATCAGAACAGGTTTTTCGACCTCAACCCGGTTAACCTCCCAAGTATAAAAAAGCTGGTTCTCTAGCTCACTCATACAAAGCCGATTCGTCGGCTCTTTCAAAAAAAAAATCGGTTTCCAAGAAACCAGTCACTTTGGTCTATAAATGGACTGTATCGGATTATGGGTTAGTTAGTTTAGACTTGTTGATTGTTGACGCTTTTGCCAGAGACAACTTGGAGGCAGCGATTTCAAATTCTTTGTATATCATTCACTGTTCGGGATTCTCAAATATGCCACCAAATGCGGCAGTCCATGAATGGTGATCCGATAGATGCAAATCACGGTGATGGAGACCATGATTATTGTCCTCTAGCGCGACACTGTACTAATGTTTCTGATGGAGACAAGTGTATTACCGGCTAGTCTTTTTTTTCGATATAGTTTACTAGTTTTTAAATCACCGTCATTATATGACGGTTTCTATTTGTACGGGGTAAGTCTTAAGCACTGTCCCGAGAAATATTTTGCTCTATTAATAAATTTCCCAAGTACTTACCTGGTTTGATTAAAAAAAAAAAAAAGAAGCCAACACTCGAAAGAATAAAAGATGTCTACAAAACCAACATTAATATAGGAGTATTGTTTTGTGAAAATATAAAACATGTACAAAGGACACTCGGCTCTAATATTCGGCCATCTCTCTTATTCTTCAAACTCCACCTTAAAATTCTTTAAGGCACCGCCCTTGGGGTGAAATCGCTTTGGAAGATTTTTTGGAACCCTTGTTTTTCTGTCAAAACCTCTCACACAAATATAACCTATATAAAAAATAAAGTTCAACCAAATTAATTATTTTTTCCATCCTTTAATTTCATCAACATTTAAAGAATTTATAACATCCATTTGTAGAACAATTACAAAATAAAAAGATATTTCTAGAAAACTTGATCATCATGCTCAAGTTTCAAATTCTTATTTAGGCGGAAAAACAAACAACTTCATTAATTTTTTATGGATTGCCTTGTAACCTAAAACTTTAGATTATAAATCCAATTCTCCAGGCCAAGAATATAACATCATAAAGTTTACTAACTTTACTAAATATTAATATTTCAGAGCTGAGAAGTACATTACCTTTCCAAAAACATCGCTGGATCTCTAAGATCTTCATGTCTGAATCAAAGAATCATAAATATTATTAAACTAACATGGTAAATATGTAATCCGATTGTAATATCAAACCTTAAAAAAGAAATTAACTATCCACCTCTAAATATAGAGGCTGCAGTGAATCCACAAACTAAAAGTTTGGTTTTTAGATGACACAGCTTCTTTCTTTGAACAGCAATGGGCCGTTCACTAGTCTCATGGTCAGCAAATACCTTGAAAATTTTAATCACAATGTTAGGATAATGTACAATTCAAATAGCAACCCCATCAACAGGAATAATGGAGTTTGCATACAATACACTGTGGCATTAATTATACTAACGATTAGGTACCTCATTAACTTGAAAATATGTTCCATTAAGGGGAAAACTTCCTCTCATTGCTGTCCGACATGGAATCTACTTGGTCATGAAGAGACATAAATATTTGAGAGTATTTATACCAAATGAGCAAAAAGTCATCATAATAGTGAAATATTACGTACCATAATTGTTACAAGGTCTTGGCTTGTATTTTCATCTCTGATTCCGTTAGATGAATCACCTAATAGTATTAAGGAGAAATAGAAATAATAGAATCATACAACTAATTTTTTGGTTTCACAGGTCATCCTATTACTAATTTTAAACTAAACAAATCACTTTCTAAAGATAGATTATTAGTTATTATTAAACAAAAATTAATTAAATGCTTTAATTCTTGCACTTCCGGTAAGTAAATAATTTAATTCTTGCACTTCCAATATTTAGTTTATCTTACCTGATCCTTGAACTGCAAGAAGGTAATGGCAGTGATCCTTAGGTTCCCGTTTGCAAAGCCCTAACTGAAAAAACATTAACATATGCTTGAGTTAAATTTGTAAAACCCTCAACCTCTTGATTCTATAAAAATAATGTGTGAAAATTCATATGGATATTAGCAAAATAAAATTTGAGGAGAACTAACTTCTTCCATAAGTGGAGAGTCATCGTTCAGTTCGTAACTGCATAAAATGAAAAAGTTAGAGTTTCTATTATATAATAATAATGTCTATATATTTGCTTTTATGTGAGCGATAGAATGCCCATAATGTTTTTATGATGTAAAAAATATTATATTTTCAGAGAGGGGGAAATTACTGTATTACTCACACTTGGAGACCCGTCCATAACCGGCTTTTAATCTTCAACCGAGTGGGACTTGAATCTTTCAAAGTAATGGGAACCAATGCTTTTGATAAATCATGCATACCCTTATCCCTCAATACTTGTAACACAGTTGCTTTGAATTCTTCAGTATCAAGAGTGATCGTGGGTATATCTTCATCATCAACATTATCACTGCCATGACACATGTCCTCAATATCTCCAAGTGTTGTTTCCATGTTTTTTAACTGTTTGGGTGGAGAAACTACAATAGTAGAGTCAGAATTGACATATACATTATTTGATTCGAGCTTCTCAGTGCATTCTCGCTCTGGAGATTCAGGGTATTCAATAATAGGCTCAGCACTCGTACTACTGAAACCTAATTTTGGACATGACCTATTACGTGGAGGAATCTTTGGAAATGTTACATGATGCTGATCAGGCGTACATGGATTATTTGTTGTGACTGTACTTTTCGGGTGTGGTGCTGGAAGACACATGTTTTTTCTGCAAAGGATACACTAATCAAAATCAAAATGCAATTAAAATGATATATTATTCAACTCAAAATTTATTGTCCATATTGCTTAAATGTGTAAGTACTAAGTTATAGAACAATTTACCTAATAGGTTACTAATTTTCAACATACTTCCAACTTAGCTAGATTCCTAAAGTCCTAGTGTAAGCGTCATAAATCAATCCAAATTATCCTCTCACATTTGTGAAACAAATAACTCCCGAAGCATTGGTGTGGAACATAAATATATATTTATTTATGCATATATTACGGATCAATAAATAATTATTAATAACACATAATAGTTTCACAAACCTTGCAAATTTACAAGCATAATATCTACATGATGATCTCATGGGGCATTCTCCACATTTTGGATTCCTCTTGGAACAAAACACCTATACAATTTTTAAAAACATAAATAATTACGCAATCTTTACAAAACTTAAAGCAACAAAAATAAGCAAAAGGAAATGATGAACCTTTCATTTCATTTTTGTTGGAAAGCATACCTTCCCGAAAGTAATCAATTGATAATGAAGTACATACCTGTGAGCAAAATCCTAATTAGTTTGTGGATTCATTTGATATAAAATAACAATAACGAAACTCAAATGTTTTTGAAACAAAATTATATAGTTGAACAAAAAAAACATTAAAATAAAAATAATAACATTTTTGAGCAAGAAAAGTGTATTACAAAATTCGTTGATGAAGATGGCACAGACGTGGCCACAAATATTTTTGGATTGCGTCTACCAATGGGTACCTAGAAATTAAATACAATAGATCGGGAAGTTTTATAAATAAACAATATTCAAAAAGAATTTTAATGCTAAGTTTCATGACTACTAATATTGTGGTGAAATTTCTTACTGAGTTAAAAGGTCAAGTTCAAGGTTTCCAGGTAATGGTTGCAAAGGGACCCATCCCAAACGTGTGACTATACGACCAACATTCGTGTCAACCTTAGGGAAAAAAAAAACCATATTAGTACTAAAAGTTTTTTAAAAAATATTAAACCAAATAAATAAACATAAGGATCATAAAATTTTACCGGAAAAGCGTGATGCTCAAGTGCCAAAAGTCGCACACATTCAGCACTTTTCAACCCAATCCCGTCTATGCTCAATAGAAAATCTCTAAAAGGAAAACAGGTGATTAGACAATCTAATACCATATTTTTTTAAACAATTGTGTAAACCAATACTTACTTTACAACATCAGGCGGAGCTGTCCGTAGACATTCAAGATCAATATTCCCAAAATGTTTAGCAACACGATCAAGAAAAGCCTACCAACATTTAATCCATTTTATATAAATATCAAGTTAGAACAAAAAAAAAAAGAAGCAAAAAAATTAATTCCAAAATACATATATATATATATATATGAATTGATTATTAGTAAATAAAACATTATTACCTTAATTTTTGCTGCAAGAATATTATGTTGGCCGCGCATAGCAATGCTTTTTGCAATTTTTTCAACTGGGGCACATCTAACTTCATCCCAATTAACAGAATCCATTGTATCAATAGTTCTCGGCTCATTTGTGGAATACTTTTCTCGGAACTCATCCCAATCCATTTCTTTCTTCTCTAATTTCTTATTCTTTTTCCTTGAGTTAGTTGTTGAATCTGCCATCATATTTTCCTCAAGACAACCTTTCATGGTAGCTAATTTCCCTTTGATAGTTTGAGGATTGCTGTTGGAATCAAAACTTCTTGATGATACATTTTTCTCTTTGAGGCTGTAATCATCTTCATTATAGGTTGAACAACTATAAGAAATTTCTCCAGTATCATGCATATAGTTTAAAACTTTATTTTCTGATGCATCCCTTGAGAACGTACCTCTATTTTCTTCAATCATTTGATAGGTATCATACTCTTGAATGTTGGACGCTTGTGTCTTATCTACTCCACTACTGGTGAGTCGCTCGAACACATCATTGCTTCCAGTAGATTCTTGACTAAGTGTAAACTCTTCTGTAACAAAGTAGTCTCCACTTGATTCTTGACTAGTTACAATGTGTTCAACACCATTATTACTGTTGTTTTGGTCATATTCACTTAGAGGGAATTTTGAAGCGAGCGACATATAAGCAGTGCTGAAAATGTTAGCAAGAAAATTATAAGGAGTCAGAACCATTATTATTAATAAAGGCAAAACAAAAAAAAATTAAAACTCTATTCACAAGTCTGATGTTTGACCTTGAAAGATTGTCAGATACATTCTGAGTTAGATACACTCCAACCACAGAGTCAACCACCGACCCTTTCCATCTTGAGAATTTCCGATTTCCTGAAATTATTGTTATGAAAGTAATCAAATCGCATTCATTCTAACATGTTGCACAAACAATGAGGGCTTTAAAAAAAAACTCCATACTTTGTATCTATATTTTTTTGCCATTTTCAAAATAAGTGATGTTAAAACTGTACCTGGTACCTGACAAAGTTGATTTGAACACTAATTTGATTCGGATTCAAGAAAAAGAAAAAATCAATAGAATAGAGGCCCAGTAAAGAAAATGTCGTCCTCATTTACTTCTAAATTCCCTCAAGCATATGCAATAGTAAAAAATAAAGTCTTTTCTTTTCTGAAAGATAAACATGCTGAAAAAATAATAACAAGAAAAATGCTCAAAAATGTAATTGCACATATGCATAAACTAAATATGTATTTTGTAATTGGTGATAAGAATTACCTTGCACCAGATGCATGCAAGAAATGAATGCATCCACACGTCTACTAAAAACCTGTCTCTCTCTTTCCCAGTATTCTTCTTTTTCTTCATCATCTTCTCTTGTGGGGGCATTTTTATTATTGCCCATCAATATATCCCACACCCGTAATGTCTCATCATCAAGGTTGACCTTGGGAATCGGTTTACGTTTTTTTCGACGTTTGATCTTCACAGGAACCAATTCTCGGGTCTTTTGATATGGAACCAAATCATAATGAGTCTTCTGATAAAAATCTTGCATATTTATATCCATGATATGCAAGGATTGTAGTTTTTTCACAATAAACTCAACATCGGTCTCTGCAATAGTTCAAATCAATAAGTATTCTTTTCAAATCAAATAAATAAAAGACAAAAATAATAATTTTGGTTGTCGGGTTATAACCAAAACTCATATTCTCAAATTTTGGGTTATATCTGTGGACATGATCTTGAAGCAACGGAGGTTGGATCATCAACGAATTGGTAGAGTTAATTCCAAAGTGAAAAACCATATTATTGCAGCTGCCTATAGAGATTAGACACCTTAGAACTATGCACAAGTCATCGAAGTCAATAAATTCAGGGTATAGAAAGAGAACTGCAAACAACATTACAAGCCACACACAAATTGCAGCAAAATGTTCTATCCATTAAATGAGAAATCAAAAAAATCTCTCCTTTGTTTTTTTTTTTTTGTAATGAATTCACATCAATTGAAATGGTATGATAAGCACGTCTAACTCCAACTCAAGCGGGAGAAACATTGTGATCTATGACATCCAAAAACATAATTTACTGATTTTTCATGATTTTAATCACGGGAAATTCGTCCAAAAACAAGTATCCGAAACAAAATGCTAGTTCCTAGTCAGTAAATTATGAATTTTAACTTCAATTACCTGCATGTTAAGATACATGGAAACTAGGCCACTCCACCCAAGAAAGAAAACCAAAGGTTGTGGTAATTAGAAAACAATTTGATCAAAGAAATAAATAAACGTCTTTAACCAGATTTTTCTTCTCATATTGTACTAATCAACCATGAATGTAAGATAAACAGAAGGAAAAAGAGATTGGAACATGCATTGCATGAAAAGATAAATAAGAATCAACTAAAAAAAATAATATATGTAATTACCTTCCCTCACGACCTCGGATCTTGGGGAATATTCTTTTGCACAATATTGAGTAAATGGTTGTTGCACCATCACTGAATTTGCATCTTCAACATACTGTTGTTGCATCACCAACCAATTTGCATCCTTGACATTATTGTGTTGTTGAATTTGGTTGTTAAAAGTTACAAGTCTATCATCCACCACCACTTGATCCTTATTTTCTGCAAGCAAAAATACAATGAATAGTCATCAAGATTGTACATTAAGCTCTTTTTGAAAAAAACTAATATAGTTTCTTTCTTACCTTGTGAAGAGATGATGAAACTTTTAGTGGTTGGTAAGCTAAGAGCTGTTGCAGTAGGTATTATTGGAACTTCAAAGAGATTCAGAAGCGGCGGGAAATCCATAGAAACTGTATCGATCTCAGAAGTCAAATTTGCAGCTTCATCGATCTTCAAAGTTAGATTTGAAACCGTTTCGATCTCAGATACCAGATTTTGCTCGGATGCCGATGAAACCAAATTTATCTCAGATGTCAGATCATTCATTTTCTTTAGACTTTTTGGTTTTTTCCCTCTAACCTTGCCCGCCACTGTTGGTAGTGCTGGATGTTTGTAAATAGAACTTCGTTGTCTATCTGATCTCTTTTTAGTAAGAACCTTGTACCCATTATACAACTTTACTGCCTTTGCCAAGTTGGGAAGGAAGCATCTTTTATTGCGCTTTGTTCTCATTTTCTTCAAACCCTTTGGAAAACCTTCCAGAAGCGGAATCCAACACTGCATATCTTCTTTATATTCTTCGAGCACTTTTTTCATCCCAGCAGAAGAGCCAAAATCTTCATCTTTTGATCCTAAGATGTTGATCAACATATTGAACACAGAAATCTCTCCGCATCCTTTCGACTTACGCCGGTGATACGTATGAGTAATTCTTTGCACAATTCTCCCATTATTTGTAACCTCCTCGTCTTTAATGGGAGTTTCCAAATCAAAATTCAAGGCTCTTCTACAAGAACTTACTTCAATATCAATTAATTTGTCACTTGTTGGCCTATGGAGAGACAATGGTTCTAGCGCCCAAGTGCTAGGAGTGCTTGAATCAAAAACCAACTCAGTACTATCATTTCCGCTAACAATTTCCCCAATACTATTCTCTTCTGAAAGCTTCTTTGGGCAGCTCAACTTTGGCTTCTTATCTGATCTGGGAACTCTTGCTTTGACAACTTTCTTTGTGGGTATTTTCTTGGGCTTGGTAGCATCATAAATCCTTGGTCGAAATCCAAGTCGTCGTCGTTTACGTGGCTTTTTGTTCAAATCAATGCCAATCTCCTTCCTCTTTTTGGGAGGTGTATAATTCAAATCTTCCATCCAAAAACTATCTGTATGAATAGTTAGAATCAGTTTTCACTAAACAACAAATAGGAAAAAAAAATCATTAAATATTGACTGAAATTCATTGTGATAGAAAATTTGAAATTCTCAAATTTAATATAACATGTACTTATGTGAAGGAAAAGATGAGAAAATTTCAAAAAAATTTCAATATCATACACCAATCAAGTAATGGTTGATTGCACTACTTAAAATTTATTTTTAATACAATTTGTACTAAAAATAAAAAGATAAATTAGATAATTTATTTTGGAATAGAAAGAATATATAGAACGATTGGACACAATATTCACCGATAACCCAGTAGACTACAGAGGCATTAACTATACGACTATGGCACGGGGATCTAAAGTGACACCCACAACAGAGCATAATTGCAAAAGCTAACCCACGAGTCACTTAATGATTCCTGCTCAATTGGCAATAACCGAAAAAAAATAGAACAACTGAATAGAAGGAAAATAAAAAGGTAAAAATAAAAACAACAAGGAAATTTCAATTTTAAAAAGTGAAAATTGACTTACATGTTCGATCCCTACCTAGTTCCTTATTCAATTTAATCCCCCAAAAAAAAACAAGTCATACTCAGAGAAGCAACTACCAAAAGCCAAATGAAATGTCCTAGTTTATGAGTTATGAACACCAACACCAATTACTTGTATCTCAAGGAACATGGAAATCATTGCAAACAAAAAAAAAAGAAAAATCTATAACCAGAAATTTCTCAGAGAAACCAATCTGCCAAATATGTAAATGAAGAGAAACACAGAAGTAAGATTGCTATTTGTAATTCCAGATTTCAAAAACCAGTGATCATGCAGTACATAAAAAGACTTCCAAAAGACATAAAATCACCAACTGAAACCTCATGTGAGGATGCATGCATGACTGCACCAATCAAATAATCCAAAACATGTTATTTTACATGCAATTTGGACAGTATAAAGAACATAGAGAAACTCCTAACACGATTATGACCGAATTGACACATATCATTCTCATCATTCTACTAACAGAGGATAATTACTAAATCCAAAACGCGAGAACAAAAGCAAAACATGTACCAAAAAAAAAAAAAAAAAAAAAGCAAAACAGAACACAGTTTCTCACCTTCTTTAACACTAAAGCAAGGAGCGATTTTGCAAAAAGCACAATATTGATTGTCGTGTTGAACGGACGTTATACCGTTGGAAGCCCGGTTGATCTCTAAGTCTTATGGGAGTGTTGGGGCTGCTGGAATTCGAGAGTTCACCTGGTTATTTTATTAGAATGATGAGAAAGGCAGCAACAAAAACTGAAACCACAACCAAAAAAAAAAAAAAAAAACCACCAGCTGCAAACCCAAAGAACGGCAGACCACAAACTGAAAACAACAAAAAAAAAAAAAAAAAATCACAAAGAACGGGAAATCACAAAGCACCAGAAACATGCAGCGCGGCAGCGGCGGTGTCGGCTGACGAAGGAGACTAACGGACAGCAACCTGCAGCACGACTAATACCTGCAGCAAACGACAGCGGCAGCAGCGGCAAACTTGAAGAGGCAGCGGCGACAGCACGCAGCAGCAGTGAAAGCCCGCAGCAGTGGCGGAGATCGGACACCGCAAAGCAAGAACGCCGAATACAGCAACACCGAAAGAGAAGACCAGCCGCAGCAAACTGGAACCCGGACGAACCAGGAAGCAGGAGAAGATACAGCGGCGACGTTGATGGACGAAGTAGACCGATGGACAGAAAGGAGAGCAAAGAAAGGAAGCAGGATGTCGAGGGGAGAGAGAGTGAAGTCGGAAACCAGAGAACAGCAGAAGGAGGCCGCAACAACTAACAGAGAAGGAAGAAAACCGGGACTCCAAGAAAGTGGGAGATCAGCTGCCGGCTCAATTATAACGGAAAAGAAAAGCTCCAAAAAGATTGGTGAGACACTGTAGAAGGCAAGGCTGGGAGAACCGCCAGCGTCAGAAAGGAAAAAATAATTGAAAGGAAAGATACGCTCCAAGAGAATGGGAGAGCCACCGCGGAAGAAAACCCTAGCTCTATAATGGAAATAAATTAATGTACATATATATATAAATATTATATATATATAATATATTAGTAAACCCTATACACAAAGTTACAACCGTAACTATATATATATATATATATTATACAAAGTTATATGTAATGACTTGATTAAGGAGTAAATTCTTTTATTTGTTGAGTCCAACTTCCATCGGCCAAATTTTCCAACATAATAATCATCCTCACAGCGAAAAAAAGAAGTACAATTTAAGACACGTTCCACCACCCCTCAAGCAATGGTAAAAGTGAACAAAATTTATGCGAGAAGGGAAAAAGAATTTGGACAAATACTAAATAAGAAAAAATTTTACTACTTTCTGATGTAGTAGTAGGCTATATATTTTGTGAAGTATTACAACGATGTAAAAAGAAAGTCTATTACATTTTTATAAAATAATGTAAAAAGTATTCAAACAAAAATTGGCAAAAGTATGTTTATATAAATTTATACTCTCTGTTGGAGTAAGTTATTTTAATTTGATCATTTAATTGATTTGCTCATTCTTCATCCACCTTTAATCCAGGTTCTTAGAAAACAATCTGTTGCTCATATACCTTTTAGTTAAAATGGTCATTTATAAACCAAAAAAGATCGTTATTTATCTCTGGTTAGGGGCTATCTTCAATGGAATGCAGAATAATATTAAGCAGTAGCTTAAAGAATTAATAGAGGACAACTGGACAAGTACTGCTCCGGAAATGGAAGAGATGTAGAACTTAGCTGTTTCGTCCAAGCTATAGCCTATACGGTCCATAACGGATGCAAGAAAACATGAAAATTCGGGACAATATTTGAGGACTGGAATTTCCATGGAGAATAATCCTTCCATGGAGGATAGGTTTTTAGACCTGTCCGTGAATCGTGATATTGGGTGACTATATCTCATTAAGGAAAACAATTTAAGGCTACAATCTTTAAAATCCAAACTTTAACATTTTTTTAATATGCTGCATCCCCCCAAAAAGAAAGTATAGAAAACTTTTAATTCAATGTAATTTGTTTGCACGTTACGTTTAAAAAATAAAGGGGAAAAAAATATAATTCCGCTTGCAATAAACTTTCATGTTTACTGTCGCCGGGGTCAAGTCCGGATAAAAAGGTGGAGAATTTGTGTTTGAAGAGTAACCAACATCAAAAGTTTTTCTTCTCCTATTTCAAAAAAAATAAGATAAAATAATAATAATAATAAAGGGTCCCGATGGATTCCGGTGCAGTATCAACAAGCGATTGAAAATGAACATCACGGTAGATAGATAGGCGAGATGTATATTTGAGTAACCCAAGAAGGCTTTATTTTTCTTAGGACAAATAACAAGACACGCATGGCTTATTCACAAATATGATTTTAATAGTTCTAGGAAAAAAAAATAAAATAAAATAAAATAAAAAAGAAGAAGAAAGGCCATAGTAGGAGAAGAAAGAGAAATTCCAAGCCTGAAGTCGGAAACAAAGGAACATGCAACTAAAGCACACAAACTTCGTCCTAAACTAATTAATAAGATCACAAAATTGCAAACATCTTTTATCAAAACACATGCGTGACTACTATTATTGTAGGTTCTTCCCAACAAATCAATTCAATTCAATACCATGCATCTCATCGAAAAAACAATCCCGCGGGTGGGGGGAAAATAAAACAAAATTCGTAAGTAAACGTGATTCACCTAATATTCAAACCCAATCGGAAAGAACATAGCGCAACACAAAGAACACCACAGAGCAGAGGTTCCATAAAATCTAACCTTTTCTTGTGCTGAGTAGTTGAGACGAAAAACCTGAATTGATAATTAGAGGGCAGAAGTCGAAACGGAAGAAAAGCTGGTTGATTATTGTAATTCCAAGTGATCAAACTGTTCTTGCTTTTTCTCTCTACTTCTTGCGCCGCTTTGCTACAAGTGAATTTGAGTTTCTGGTGGTTCTTATCTTATACTAGTTTCTTGAATTGAGAGATTGGGATTCATCTTATAATGACCTAGTTGTATCGGACTAAAACTGTTGTTGTTACCTGACAGTGTCAGATATTTTAACAACAGTGAACGGTTATTTTTGTTGGGGTTTTTATTAAATCTTCCGTCTCTTTCCCAAATTTATAAAGAAAATAAATAAAAGGGCGAGATACATTTAACCCCTGAGTTTTTTTTTTAATTAAAACCAGAACGGTACCTGGCGAATTTATAAATAAAGTAAAGAAATTTTCAGAGTAGTGCTTAAAACTTACCCTGTACAATTAAAAGTTTATCATATGATAACAGAACTTTTAAATATCAAATGCAACCTAATCAAAAATATACTAATTACATATAATGTCGGTTTTGGCAGTTCCGTCAAAACTATGTTTAACTATGTTTCCAGCAACTCCAGTATAGAAAACAACATACTTTTTTTTCCTGTCATTGTGGTTCGCTTCTCTAAGATCACATATCTGAACTGCCACGGAGGTTGACATATAAAATATCCAGATATGTGAGTGATATACAGGGAAACAGAAACTTTTATCCTAAACAGGGTCGCCCAAATATAATTCCTAAGTTACTGCAATAAAATAGACATATAGATAACAATATAATTCGATTTCTTTTGTTTGAAAGGATACCAACCAACAAACCGATAGGGACCGGTCTGCTACTGTCAACCGAACCGAGGGTGGCCTGTTCTATATTGAATTCGGTCTGTGAAAATCGGATGGATCGGCTAACTTGAATGGACCGGCCGACTTGAGCGCATCAGGCTTCCTCCGTCAGGGCATCAGCGGCCACGCGCGTGGAACGGTGGGTGTTCTTCAGATCTAAGGACAAATCTACAACTCTCAACAGAGCCGGTGATGCCGCTTTGCAACAGATAGAGATCCAGGCTAGGGATGCGTCATTTGGATCGATGGCCGACGACTGGGACTATCAGATCCGAAAATTCGGCAGTGGAGTGCGAGGTCGACGGCGAGTTCCTCTCGAAAGGCGCCAGAGCAGCAACCGGATGTGCCACATTCAGATCTGGATTAAAAAAGCTCCAGATTTGCACCCGTCAACACGGGTGGTGGAAGCGGCATCCAGTGTTGCAGCGTTCGACATGTGTGGCTGGAGGAGGAGACCAGTTTGCGGCAGGAGGCAGGCGGCAGTTACAGCGGCATGGGCCGCGAGTTTAGTGATCTGGCAGGAGGCCAAGATCGGTTGGCGGCAGTGAACGCTTGGTGGGGCACAGGGATTCTGGTGATTTGGTTGGCTGCGATTGCAGCGACTGAAGGCCGGAGGCCGATCTAAAAAAAGGGAAGGGGGGAGGGGATTAAAGAAGAAAAAATAAATAAAAACAAAAGAAAAGACTCCCCCAACCACCGGAGAAGGAAGTTTCCGGTGGGGGGTGTATAGTGAGAGGGGAGAGAAAAAAGTTTAGAGTCGGAATGCGGGTGCAGGTACTTATGATTTAACCCCCGCGTTTTAGCATCCAAAACAAACTAATAATTTTCTTCCAAAATACCTCAACTTTTTTCTTTTTTCACTAGTTTTTAATCCTGCATCAACATTTTCTTAGTCTTCATGAGGCTTCGGAGACTAAGTTTTTTTTTTTTTTTTTTGAGATTATCACTAAACTCCAAAAAAAAAAAACAAAAAAACTTAAGGAACAACAAAATAAGAACTACTATAACTACGAAAAATTTACATAAACCGTCGTATGTTAAGAAGCAATTACTGCATCTTCGATCTTAAAGCCACATAAGGAATGACAGAATATCTTAATTAATTAATTTAAAATACAATAGAACTAGCACATGCAGATGGTATCTTTTCTAAAATGTTTATGAAACAATTAAACACTATGAATTACGATTTCCTCTTTAATCTATTAACCCGACAAGACTTTAAAATGAGATTAAATGATGACCGGCAATCCAATAATGTCAGAATAACTTTACCCGTCGTACATAAATATCATATCTTATCTCAATTTAATTTCAAACTAATAGAAAGAACATGAAAAGGACACTATATTATACTTGGATTCAAAATTTGGAGAAAGATTATGTTTTAGGGATTTCGAACTAATTCACCATTACTTTATTTTGGTAAAAACTTCCATCTGCTTAACATGAGTGGTGATAACCGCGTGCGTAAAGATATATCCATCAAAGTGCTGTGCCCGTGCGTATATGTATAATATTAATTTTTGAAGGAGATAGAT